AAAAAAAAAAAAAAAAAGGAAGAAAATGATATAGTCAAGAAAAATGATGAGGTATGAGGAAAGGAAGAAGAAATATCAAGTGTTAATTATAGAGCGTTAATGTGAAAATATATAGTTTACCTCTTAAATTTTCATATACTTTTTTCAAAAGCAGCGTTAAATCTTTTGTGTGTGTATATGTGTTGCTGTTGTTGTTTAAATATTTAACTGTAGGTCAAAAAGCCATTTAGTTTTCACTTCTGTTTCTTTTTTTTCTCTTATATTCACGCAAAATTAAATAACCTTTCTGAGAAAAAAAGCTATTAATACAGGATATGTGCCCGAAAAGATGTCCAGAATGATGTTCAACAACTCTACAGTGGTGGGTTATTGGACGACTTGTTTTCTCCTTTATACTTTTTTATGTTGCTTGTATTTTTTTAATGAGCCCACATTTTTGTAAAAGTGCCTATAGTTTTATAAAAGCCATAAAATCATTACTGTTAATATAAAATATTGGTCAGTAGTATTGTCATTATTCTAGTTGCTTCTTAATCATTTAAAAAAATTAATAGTCTTGTCTTGACAAACACCAGAAAGAGCCCTTGACAGTATTTTTGCAACTCGTGCCTAAGATATTGGCAACTGCCTTGGGGCAAAAGGCATGTGCAGAGGAAAACATTAGCTATTCTAATAGGATGTGTTTTGCCTTCTTACTGAATTCATAAATCTAAACAATGAGCTGGTGAGTGTGAAGTGGGATTGACTCGGATTCCCATGATGCTGGTGACAGAAAGTATAGTACAAGTGTAGTGTGGTTTGTTGTACACATGGCTGAATGAGGAATATGAAAACCTCACTTCTAGTTCGGGCCTAACCAATAAGCAGCACCAGAATTTGGGGCGTTTAGAGTGCTTCTCAGTCTCTGCGCTTCCCTACGTTGAACTTCTTTCTTTTCTTGAATTTCCCATGGTCTCCTGCCTCCGGGCCTTTGCACAGGCAGTTCCCTCTGCCCAAGGCACGTTTCCTTACCTTTCCCTTCATGGGGCTCTTTCTTGTGTTCAGGGCTTAGCTTTAGCCTCCTTCCTCTAGAAGGCCTTCTGCATTGTAACGGATGGTACTTCCGTTGGTAGTTCCAGTGGTAACACTCGGTGTCAGAGTTCCTGCAGCAGACCGGCCTCAGAAAGACTGGGATCTAGGAAGTGCAAGGTTAGGTTCTCTCATTGCCCTTCCACAACACCATGCTTTTGACTTCCTCCTCTGGGCTCTGCCAGGGAGGTAACTCTCCTCCTGCGACCTCGTGGCCTCTGAGTTTTCTTTTTTTCTCAGCAGGCCTCTTCAGTTCTGCTTCTGTTAGAAACTGCAACTTTGCTTGGTAATATTCAAAGTTTATCAGAAGAGAGCAGCTGTTCTATTTAGCCCATTTCCCTCCAGCACTAGCCATTCCTGCAGGAGAGAGTGTCACCCCTGCACCCACAGGCCCGTGCCGGGGGGACCTGGGGCCCAGGCTGGCATTCTTAATTCCCTCTGAACCCCCTGCTTGGCCTCTCTGGTAAAAGAGATGGAAGGGTAGAAAGCATATTACAAAGCGGGAAGTGCCATGAAATCCTAAACGTATGTTTTATATACAAAAGACCAAAAAGAAAGATCAAATCATTATCAGTGGGGTTTCTCTAATGGGATTTCTAGTTATTTTTATTTTCTTATTTTCACATTTTCTCTAATAAACAGTTTCACAGACACTAAATGGCATTTTGTAAGCTCCTATATATGACTTTTCCCTGAGCAGCCCCCAAGAAGACTAGGGAGAGTTGGCTCTGCCAGATGAAGCATCATGCTGTTCTATTCACATATTTCATCTCTGCCCCCAACCGATGTGTTTGTTTGCTCTTTTCACCCTCATGTCTTTCTTATCCCCAGATGACCAGATGACTGGTATCCCCCCGCACATCCTCAACAGCTCCCCATCCGACCAGCAGATCAACCAGCTGGCTCAGAGGCTGGGCCCTGAGTGGGAGCCTGTGGTGCTGTCTCTGGGCCTGTCCCAGACGGATATCTACCGCTGTAAGGCCAACCACCCCCACAACGTGCAGTCGCAGATGGTGGAGGCCTTCATCCGCTGGAGGCAGCGCTATGGGAAGCAGGCCACCTTCCGGAGCTTGCACAGAGGCCTCCAGGCCATGGAGGCGGACTCCTCGGTGCTCCAGCATATGTTGGAGTGATGGGGTCTCCCTCCATCAACCCATGGGGAAGTGTGTCCCCAAGTTGCGTGTGCAGAATCCTGACTTTCTCCCAGGGCAGGTAGTTTTGGGGGCTTTGGCGGGGTGGGGGAGGGTTCTTTTCTTTTTAATGATCTGTAGATGAAAGGAGAAAATGGGATTTCCAGTTGATGTTACCTTAAAGGCCAGATTACTCACTAGCTCTACCACATTGACTTGGCAATTCATTGTTTTTAATTGCTTGAAGATTGAATTGTTTTAATTGTGCAGGTTTTAATTGTGTGAGTGCCCTTTAATAAACTGGTAAATCATAATGGCTCCAAGAAAATTACTGTGTTATCATATTACATGCAGGTGTCCTATATAAATATATAAATATATATGTGTTTTTATATATATATGTGTGTGTGTGTATATATATATATATATATATATATATATATATATAAAGCATCTACTTTGATATTGCCTGGGAACTGAACCGTGGACTTTGCTATTAATGATGATGATAATAAAAAGTGAATTACTATATATAATGTGGCCTTTCATGAGACAGTATTGTTTGTTTTTCCTCATTCCTGTAGTGCAGAGATTAAGGGTGTAAAAGTACAGTAGTCCTTTTTTTGAAACAGAATTACTAGTAATAACAAAATGGTTACTTTCTCCAGTCAGAATAAATCGCTCAGACAGGCTGTCTGAATTAAATTTAAGACACTGAAGCTCCCTGCCAGACCAGTTCAGGTACCAGCATGCATCCCTGAGCCCTTCATCTTTAAGAGATTGCTTAAGAAAATCCTGTGTTTAAAGGACTTAGTTGGGGGACAAAAGAGGGTGTGGTCTTTCCGTTGACGTTGTAGTGATTGAAGTGTTATGCTCCTAAGGAGTATGACTTAGTCTTCTGTCTTTCTATTAATGACACATGGTATTTGTCAAATGCTTTACTGTTTTCAAGGTTTTTCATATACGTGATCTCATTTGGGCCTCACAAAAATCCTATGAAGTAGTTGGGCAAGAGAGGTGAGTCTCCTTCTGTAATGAGATTAGGTGATTTGCTGGGGGCGAATGAGCTAGAATGTGTCTTTGGAGCCCTGCTTCTTTCCAGCTGCTCCCTGCTGTTTCTCCTCCCCTCTCCCGTGCTCCTCGAAGAAGCTTGAGTCCTGTTCTCCTGTTAGCAGCATTGCCGTGGACAAGCTACTCCTCTTCTCTAACGCTGCACAAAAGAGGAAATGATTGTCCCCTCCTCCAAGATTTTTGTGATAATTAAGGGAATAATGTCTGCCAAGGACTCATCTAGTGCCTAGCCCTTAGTCAGTTCCCAGAGGTGGTAACTGTTCATTTGCTGCTGTGGCTGCCCATGGATGAAGTTCACAGGCAGAGCTGGTTAGTGGCTAAAGCTGAGGGCACTGCAGGAGGAAGTGCTATGACCATGTTTCCTGCCAAGCTTTAACATGTGATGTAATTTACTAACTCTACCGTGGGTCCAATCAAGAGAGGGACAGGATGGGGCGCCTGGGTGGCTCAGTCGTTAAGCGTCTGCCTTCGGCTCAGGTCATGATCCCAGGGTCCTGGGATCGAGCCCCAAGTTGGGCTCCCTGCTTGGTGGGAAGCCTGCTTCTCCCTCTCCCACTCCCCCTGCTTGTGTTCCCTCTCTCACTGTGTCTCTCTCTGTCAAATAAATACATAAAATCTTAAAAAAAAAAAAAAGAGGAACAGGTGAACATTCCCAATTCATGATCTGTTCTTCAGAATAATTGGGGGATCTATTTCCTAATCCTAACCTAACCCAGGATTTTTTACAAAGGGAAAAAAGTGTACTTTTTACCTCTCTCTGTTCTGGGACAAGTGTATAGAATGGTAGAGTTGAACGTGAAGTGACTGCTCCAAAAGGTGACAGTGGTGTGTCAATTGCATCCTCTCAGATGTCTGGCAACCATAATTCCCTTGACTAAAAAAGATCAGTTACCTAACAGTTCAACAAACAGTTCAAAAGGATGGTCTGCTGGCCTCATCAGCTCTAATTTTCCATTTTGTAGCCCAGCCATTAATTCATTGTCTTATAAAATTCTCAGACTTTTGGCCCCATCACTGCCCTAGTGATAGACTGTACTATGGCATCTTCAGCAAACTGCCTGCCATTCTGAACCTTGAACTTGTTACTTGCTGTTTGTCCCCCTGAGTTTGCTAATAGAGCATTGCTTTGGCTTTTGTTCTCACTGCATTTTTGGCCAAGGGAGTATGGCTGGGCTCTGCTGCATCTGACTAGATGGCATTTTAGAAGTGGCTCTGATGATTAGCTAGTTCATCTTCCCACCATTTGCTTGGAATTGGAATCTGTCATGCCAAAGACACTTCAGTGCTCTGTGAGCAGTGAAGGACAATTTGTGATGAACTGGCCCATCATGGGCTGCCAGGGCCAGGAGAGAGCTCTGACTTGTTGCCCTTAATGAGGAGGGTGTCTCCACCATCAAATGGCAGCTGCAGCTGCTGGGCCTGCTCATGTTCTTGCAGAAGATTTGCAGAGTGCAAGAAACAAGAGCATCTAAGTCACTACCTCATTTCTGCCTCTGGCTGTGGAAAGTGATGCTGAATTTTGTCTGCCTACCTCCCAGGAGAAATGGGTAGGTGACGTGCCTGCAAGGAGTCCATGTGTTTTTGCCTGGTAGAAGATTCTACAGTTCCAAAGGCTGCCTACCACCAACAGAATCCTGAATGAGTACAGGGCAGCAGCAGAGCATTTGCAAGCACTCTCCAAAAAAATATAAAGTCTTGCTCCACTTTGGTTTGGGATGCACGTGCATGTACATTCATGAGTATGCCCTCTTACTTTTTAAAAACTATAATTTTTATGAAATTTTTCTCTGTACAAAAATAGTGCATGCTCATTATAGCAGTTTAGAAAATACCAGTGAGCAAGAACAAAAAAATAAAAATTACCCCTACTCCATCTTCCAAAGATAACCACTATGACACCCCAGTTTTAGTCTCTACCCCCAGTTACTTTCCTATGGCTGTATATTCTTTTTCTAATGAAAATGACATTGTATCAAAGCAACCATAACTACAATAAGTAGTTAAAGGCTACACAAAATTAAAAGAGGTAGGTATCCACAATCCCAGTTTTCAAAGTATACAAAGTATATACAAAGCTGTCATCATCAACACAGTATGGTACTGGCACAAAAATAGATACCAGGCTCAATGGAACAGAATGGAGAGCCCAGAAACAAATCCATGCATATATGGTCAATTAATCTATAATGGAGGAGACATGGACGTACAATGGGGAAAAGACAGTCTCTTCAACAAAGGATACTGGGAAAACTGGGCAGTTACATACAGAAGAATGAAATTAGACCACTCTCTCACACCACTCACAAAAATAATCTCAAAATGAATTAAAGACCTAAATGTGAGACCTAAAACTATAAAACTCCTAAAAGAAAACATAGGCAGTAATCTCTTAGACATCAACCTTAGATGTCTTAACAACCTTAGCAATGTAGTTATGGATATGTTTCCTCAGGCAAGGGAAACAAAAGCAAAAATAAACTATTGAGACTATACCAAACTAAAAAGCTTCTGCACAGCAAAAGAAGCTATCAACAAGATGAAAAGGCAACCTACTGAATGGGAGAAAATATTTGCAAAAGATATATCTGATAAGGAGTTAATAGCCCAAATATATAAAGAACTCCTACAACTCAATACCAGAAAAACAAATAATCCAATTAAAAAATGGGCAGACCTTAATAGACATTTTCCTGAAGAAGACAGATGGCCAACAGACACATGAAAAGATGCTCAACATCTTTTCATCCTCGGGGCGCCTGGGTGGCTCAGATGGTTAAGCGTCTGCCTTCGGCTCAGGTCATGATCCCAGGGTCCTGGGGTCGAGTCCCGCATCGGGCTCCCTGCTCCTTGGGAGCCTGCTTCTCCCTCTGCCTCTCTCTCTGTCTCTCATGAATAAATAAAAGAAAAGTTAAAAAAAAAACAAACATCTTTTCATCCTCAAGGAAATGCAAATCAAAACCACAATGAGATATCACCTCACACTGTCAGAATGGCTAAAATAAAAAAGACAAGAAATAACAAGTATTGGTGAGGAAGTGGAGAAAAGGGAACCCTTGTGCACTGTTGGAGGGAATGAAAATTGGTGCAGCCACTGTGGAAAACAGTATGGAGATTCCTCAAAAAAACAAAAATAGAAGTACCATACAATCCAATAATTCCACTTCTGGAAATTTACCCAGAGAAAATGAAAACACTAGTTTGAAAAGCTATCTGCACCCCTATGTTTATTGCAGCATTATTAACAGTAGCCAAGAGATGGAAGCAACCTAAGTGTCCATCGATAGATGAATGGATAAAGAAGAGGTGGCATACATATACAATGGAATATTCCTCAGCCATAAAAAAAGAATGAAATCTTGCCATTTGTGACAACATAGATGCAATTTTAGGGTATTATGCTAAGTGAAATAAATCAGAAAAAGACAAATACCATATGATTTCACTTATATGTGGAATCTAAAAAACAAAACAAATGAACAAACAAAACAAAACAGAAACAGGCTAATATGTACAGAAAAGAAAATGTTGGTTATGGGGTGTGGGGAGGGGATGGGTTGGGAGGGCAGGTGAAATAGATTAAGGGAATTACAAGGTATAAACTTCTAGTTATAAAATAACAGCATAGGGAACGTAGTCAATAATATTGTAATAACTTGGTATAATGACATATGTTAACTAGATTTATCATGGGGATCATTTTATAATGTGTAAAAACATCAAACCACTATCATGTGCACCTGAAATGAATAGGATATTGTATGTCAATTATACTTCAGTAAAAAAATGGGATTGTATTGCACATGCTGTTTTACAATTGGCTTCTTTTATTTAACATAGAGCTGTCTTTCCATGTCATTAAAGATTTTTCTATACCAGTGATTTTCATTGTCCTCTGTGTTTGGAGCACACTTTCAAGTCAAGTCCTGTAATTTTCGGCAGCATGTTTGAAGAAATTAAAAAGACTCTAACTACTGAATGTAAAAATGTCTTTCGCTGTCAAAACCTCCAGCATTTTCCCACTG